AGAGTTTAAAAGTCATGGGACCAAATGTGAAAAAAATAATAGTTGGGGGACCAAATGTGAAAATGATCGAATAGTTATAGGACCAAATATGAAAAAAAAAATAGATGACCAAATGTAGAAATAATCTAATAGTCGTGGGATCAAAAGTGAAATAATCAATGCAGTATATGTCAAGCACCTTGTACCCAGATGACATGTAGTGACCTTTCTCATATGGGAAGGCATGAGATCGAACCTTAGTAGAGGCATTGTTTTCCCTTTGTGTTTTAATAGGTTGAGAAAGTGTGTTTGGACAGATACTATAATGTAATAGAGTCAGTGGCATTAAAAAAAAAAGTGAGTAACTTTTGAGAATTTTATTATTATATTATAAGGATTTTCTATTAATTCTCAAATTAATATGTAAGATAAAAGTAGTTATAAGTTTTTTATTTTATTTAATCCATTATAATAAAGTAATCTATAATCTATAATCTATAATTTTTTAATGGAAGAATTTTATTTAAAGAAAGGATATGATGAGGCGTACGTGAGTTAAGCTACATTAAGGCTGTCCTTACCCCTGCAAACATCTCCCACTCTAAAAAATGGGTCCCACTTCCACATCATCCCATTTGCAAATTATCTACTATTCACACTACATCCCTGCAAATCCAATCAACCTTCAAAAGTGGACCCCAATTTCACATCACTTTAAAAAATTAATATTTTTTTCTTAATAAATATTATTTTGTCTTCAACATTATTTATTTATATCAATATATAACTTATATTTAAATATTAAATATAACAAATGTGAAAATAACTAATTACGTATGTATTAATGGAAAAACTAAATGTATGTATTAATGAATTAATTTATGTATAGTAATGAATGTATGTATATCAATCTTACAAAAAAAATGTATCTTTATCAACATAAATTTTAGACACGTAATTTTAATGAATTTATTTTAAAAAATAATGTAAGAAATTATTTGTATTATGTATGGTATATAACCGGATGCATATTATATCACGATTTGAATTGTAAAACTAAAACTCAAATGAACCGTATAAATTCAAAGTAATTGAATTCATAAAAATTAACCCAAGTACAAATTACAACTACGACAACACTGAAATGAAACAAATTACAACTACGAAAGCACTCAAAGCATTAAAAATTAAGACATTACAACTAACGGATTACATTGAAAGCAAATACATTTATTCATTAATTCTCTTCTCCACCAAACCGATTCCATATCTCCTCAATCAAGTCTTCTCGTAGTCGATGGTTTGTTGGCCTATTGCGAATCATTGCATGATTTCGAATATAATCATCATTTCGAAGGAAGTGGCTAGGACTATTTTCAGGTGCAGATACATTACAATTCACACTTTCATTCGTATAATTATAATCAATAGCATATGAATCTCGTTCATCCTCGACAATCATATTGTGAATGATTATACATGCTCTCATAATTTGTCCAAGTGTTTCTTTGGAGCCCATGCGTGCCGGGTTAGAAATGATAGCAAATCTTGCTTTGAGCACTCCAAATGCTCTTTCTATATCTTTTCTTGCAGCTTCTTGTTTCTTTGCAAATAATTTATGTTTTTCACTTTGAGGTAAGGGGATTGACTTCACAAAGGTTGCCCAACTTGGATATATTCCATCTGCTAAGTAATAACCCAAATTGTAATGGTTACCATTAACAACGAAATTTACCTGAGGTGCTTTACCTTCCAAGACCTCGTGGAAGATGAGAGATCGGTCCAACACATTGATATCATTTAATGTACCTGCAAGACCAAAGAAAGAATGCCATATCCACAAATCTGCAGAAGCAACAGCTTCAAGTATAATGGTTGGATAGCCGTGATCTCCTCTAACATATTGTCCATGCCAGGCAGTTGGACAATTTCTCCATTCCCAGTGCATGCAATCAATACTCCCTAGCATACCTGGGAAGCCCCTTTGTTCTCCAATTTGCATTAGCCTTTGTACGTCTACAACATTTGGCCTTCTCAAGTACTCTTTCCCAAACACATCATTTATACTTTAAACAAATCTCTGCATACACTTCATTATAGTGGTCTCACCCATTCGTATATTCTCATCAATGGAATCTGCAGAACTCCCATACGCTAACATACGCATTGCTGCAGTACATTTCTGTAGCGTGGAAAAGCTCTGTCTACCGGTAGAATCTATAGAACTTTGGAAATATTGGTCATAATTTTTAACACCTTCAACTATGCGAAGAAATATATTTCTTCGCATTCGAAACCTTTGCCGAAATATATCGTCGGTGTACGTTGGACTATTAGAGAAATAGTCAACATACAAACGTTGATATGCTTCTTCACGGTTTCTCTCAATGACCCGTCTTGGCCTTCTTCTACGCCCAGAGGATGCAGCCTCATTTTCTATAGCTTCTCGTCGTAGGTTTATTAGGTTCGATAGAGTATCATCCATGAACCACTCAATGATATTTTGCTCAGAAAAAGGATTATCTGGGTCTTGGGATGAAGAAGATGAGTTAGAGAAGGGAGGATTTTCATAATTTTCAGTTGAAAATTCAGAATAAAATGAATTAGAATCACCCATTGAGTTCCACTCATCATCCATAGTATATGAAAGAAAGAGTAATGAGTGTGTAAGAAATTTGTGTATCATCCTACGTTTAAATAATGGATCATCATTTCTTGTAGTGGTAGAGAATATCATTTGAGTTGGAATATAATAATTATTAGTTGAAAAAAATTTGTGTATGGAATATCATCTGAGTTTGTAAGAAGTTTGGGTGTGGAATATATAATCATACGTAGAAGGAAATTTGTGTTTGGAATCTAATAATTAGGTGGACGAAATTTGTGTATGGAATATAATAATTAGTTTAAGAAAATTTGTGTATCATCCTACATATAAATAATGGATCATCATTTTTTGAAGGAAATTTGGGTAGAGAATATCATCATTTCTGTACTTAATTTGTGTACAAATATCATCTGAGTTTGTAAGAAGTTTGAGTATGGAATATAATCATACGTAGAAGGAAATTTAAAAATGGAATCTAATAATTAGGTGGAGAAATTTTGTGTATGGAATCTAATAATTAGGTGGAGAAATTGGGTGTATGGAATCTAATAATTAGGTGGAGGAAATTTGTGTATGGAATATGTAATAATAAGTTGAAGAAAAGTTTTGTATCATCCCACGTATAAGTAATCCACCATTCTTGCATATTACCTCATCCATCATTTGCCTTCTTCCTTCCTTTGCATTCTTCCTTTACGAAATATTTTGAAACCTTCAAATGGATCCTCCACGCGATCCATTATTTAACTTCTCACTACTTTCACAGAATGACCCTAATGAAGCCAATCAAAACCCACAACCTCCAATCACTCAATTCCACTTTCTTCCTGGAATGAGCAATGTGAATTATCAGCAATTACCATACTTGTTTCAAGGTGTTCCCCCAACCTATCATCCATCATATTCTACTTTTACTCCAACTAGTATTTGTCCCGTGCGATGCACGGAAAATATATTATAAACATATACCCTATATTAGGTTTATTTATATATACTCCAATGTCTACTCCCACTGGGGTTTCTCATCCTACTCATACGACAAATATACCTTTGCGAGAATTTCCTGAGTACTCCACTCAAGAAATGCCAACACCTCAAGAAACACGACCACCAGGCATATTGAAAAGTCGATGGACAAATAAGGATGACATGCTGTTATGCAGCGCATGGCTCAACATTAGTAAAGATGCTGAAGTTGGAAATGATCAAAGTGGTAATAACTTTTGGAATCGCGTTGTAGAATTTTATAATCTATACCGGAGTCAACTTGAGCAAGCCAAAAGGAATAAAATGGGATTGCAGAATCGTTGGGGGAGGCTAAGTCATTCGGTTTTAAAATTCGCCGGCTATTATGAACAGATTTTGCATCGGAGGGAAAGTGGCTTAAATGAGGCTGATAAAAAAAAAATAGGGCCATGCAATTATATCACGAGATTCAGAAGGAAAATTTTATGTTTTTGCATGCTTGGGAAGTGCTAAGGAAGGAAGAGAAATGGTGTAACCAAGCGGGAAGTGGCATTGATGTTGACTTAACCAGAGATGAACGTCCAAAGTGAACAAAAAATACGGAGTCAGGTAAATACACATATTCATCATCAAATTCACAACCAAGTGAGACAGGTGGGACGCTTCTAAGGCGAAAGGAAAAAGAATGCAATCAACAACACAGTCAACGTCATCAAAAAGTTTGGGCGAGCAAGTTGAAACGCAAGTCAATGTGGAAATGGAAAAAATAAACCTCATGAAACAATATATGAAGCGACAAGAAGAAAGGCTGCAACAACAACAACAAACTGAGAAAAATAGACTTCTCATTCAGCTTATGCAACTAGATACATCAAGTATGAACGAAGCGCAAAAACAATTGTACGATAAGCAAATGAAGAAGTTTTTAGATGAGTAAGTATGGTGGAATTAATTTGTATGCATTGTATTTCTAAATCAATGAAATGTTATGTTCTCTTTTAATATATTTTTTTATTAAAAAAATATTACACATTAAATATAAAAACATTAATATGGCAAAATACAAAACAAAAAATAAAAAAAATAAAAGAAAGGAAACAAAATTAAATAAACTAAATAAAAAACTATTAAAAAAAACTAAAAAAAAAAAGTACAGCGGCAGCTTTTTGTATGGATTGCATGTTTGCATGCAGAGCAAACTTGCAATCCAACTCACTATTTAAAAAAAAAAAAAGAAAAAAAAACAAAAAGCATACATGGCATTGTCCAACTCATCTTGCCAATATGATATTGGCAGGGGTAAGGACAGCCTAAAGTTGACAGTTTATTTCTACCAAAAAAAAAAAAAAAAAACTTAGACAGTTTAAAGATTCCATTCACATATAAATATAATTTTGTTGGTGTTTGAACAAGCTAAGCCTTTCAAGCCATTCCAAATTAAATAGTCCAAATTATACAAAATGATAGGATTACTAGAAGAACTATCAATGTGATGACTAGGCACCAAATATTCTTAATTAAAAAAATAATAATATTCTTATGTTTGAAAAATTGAAATACACTTCCCTTTCACAATGAGTTGGACTCACACAAGAAAATATTTGCAAATTCATTTTAACCACTCTGGGAATTGGGATGCCTCAAGTGTGGTTACTCCCAAATTTTGGAGGGCAAATGAAGTGTAGGAGCTCCAAGTTGTTGGTTCATCACTGGAAACAATAAATGTATGCAAATTAGGGTTATGTAGCCTAGCTCCTCAAACATGCCATGCATGCAGTTTTCTAATACTCCCTCTGTCCCATTTTTTGTTCAATTTTTCAAAATATTAAGTTTAGTATTAGTATATAAAATTTATATATTTAGAAAGTACATTACAAATATTATTAAACACAAAAAATTAAATTTAAAATTAATAAAAAAAATAAGCGGGCTATGAAAAAAATGGTTAATTTGACCAATAAATAATAAACATACAGATAAAATGGGACAAGAGAGTAATACTTAATTCACTATAAACCCGGCCAAACCTCTTCTATATGGACTCCTTCTTTCCATGGCTTTAGGCCGTTCATCATATACAGCACCATTGATTTTGAGCTATGCAAAAATGGAGAAAATGAAATGGGATTAGATAAAGAAATTAATAGTAACAAATTTAATTTTGTAAACAAATGGGATCATCAGATCAGAAGAATTCACCAACTGTACTGAAACACATACACACCAGAGTGATACATCTATCCATCAACAATGATATGATGTTGATTCATCACATTCACTCTCCTCCTTCATTTTGAAGCATGCAAAATACAGAAAAAAAAAAAAAAAAAAATGAGGAATACTAATCAAAAAGAAAAACAAGAAAATTAAGAATGAATGAGACGAGGCAGCCATAACTTCGATTCGTTCTAACCTCAACATCTTCTACATATTCAGGCCCTTGCCCCTGCCCTTGGATTTTGATCTATGATCAAGTAATGCAAAATACAGAAAAAAATTAAATCGTAACAGATTTTGCAAAGAAGTTGAGCATCTAATACAAAGGAATGAACAAGCCTGAGCTTCCTTCTAACCTCAAAATTTTCTTTTCCAAAATTCTTCTTTAGCTTCTCTTGAATATCCTTTGCAGAAGCGATAATGGAAGGACGGCTACACCTATCCAAATCTATTGACTTCAAGCAGAAAATTTCTCCAAAACTGCTTGGAATCTCTTCCAAACAATTACAAAATCTTAGACTTATGCGTTCAAGAAGGGGGAAAGAATATTCGACAGCCTCCAACCGCTTCAGTATTTTATCTTCAAGGAACAAGAAGTTTAATTCATCAAATTCTCCTTCACATACTCTCCACACTTCTTCATGGAACACATTTTCCAGCTTCAGCACCTTAAGACATTTCAACCTCCCAATTACCTTTAAATCCCACCCAGAAACACAACTTCCACTCAACCTCAGCTTCTTTAGTCGTAAAGGAAACATACATCTTTCTGGAAGGGTTACAAAACTGCCAATACAAACTGAAATTGTTAAACTCTCAAGCCCATATAAATATCCCAATTTATCCAAAATGATGCGTTTGCTGGATGATCCACCAGTGTGACTCGGCTCTGAGTCTTCTTTACAGAATATTTTCAGTTTTTTCATGTTTGGAAAACTAGAATACACTTCCTTTCTGCAATGAGTTGGACCTACCCAAGATAATGTTTGCAAATTCTCTTTTACCATGCTTGGAGGATTGACAGCATAGCAAGTGCCAAGTTCAAGATGCCTTAACTGTCGTGACTCCCAAATTGTTGATGGCAAATGGACAATAGGTGCTCCAACTTGTGATTCACTCTCACTACCGGAAACAATAAGTGTCTGCAAATTCACATTACTTGACACAACATCACTCAGGCCTTCAAACCATTGTGTTACCGATAAATATCTTAAAAATATCAAATCCCCTAATTGCTGCTTTGGCACTCTTTGGAGGAACGAAGATTGGACAAATGCCAAAACTCTTAACAGCTTCAAGGATACAAATATTTCAGTGTTTTCCTGAAAGAAGAAAATGGAACGAGGGTTGTTTGAACTAAACAACACATAATAGTCAAATCTATGTCGGCATAAACTTAACCAACGACACGATTTTGCAAATGCATTTAATGACCACCTTGGGAGTTGCCGAGTATTTACCGCACATAAAATTCCCTCTTTTTGTGCCTCTCTGAAACAGATGTTATGCATGACACTATGCACCCTACAAGTCTTAATTTGACCATCAAGAGTCTGTTTGCTTATTAACACAAGACTTCTATGAATGAGGTCCTTTAAGTACCAATAAGCAGTCCTTTCAAACTCCTCATTATTCATCCATGGCTTCACAAATCCTTCAGCAATCCATAACCTAAGAAGTGTTTTAACTTGAATTTCACTGCGCTTTGGAAAGACTCCAAGATATAAAAAACAAACTTTCAATTCTTCTGGCAACTGATTGTACATGGGAATGAGTGCATTGTAATCTAGAATTCCCAACAATTCTATTTCCTTTTCAATCTTTTTCAATTCATGTTGTATGTTGTTTTTGCATTCAAATAAGCGCTTTGCAACTACCACAATTGACAATGGCAATCCTTCACATATTTCCACAACATGGAACAAGTGACTCCTGAATTTTCCAAAACTTGGTGCCCTATACCTCTGAAGAGGAAAGATAGTACAGAATAGATCCCAACTTTCATTTGGATCTAGTAAACTCATAACATGATATGTACCTTTGATTGTGCAAGCATAGTCAGCCACTCCATAGAATCTAGTGGTCAGCAATATGCAACTTCCATTATTCACTGCAGAATTGCAAAATAAGTCTTTTAATCGATCCCAATGGTAAGTGCTCCATATGTCATCAAAAACAATTAGATACGACTTTTCCTTCAAGCATTCACGAACCTGCTCCCGAAGATGGACTTCGTTTATAATTTCATGATTTGGTGAAATTGACCGGAGAAGGTCGCGTAGCACTTTGGTCTGATTGTAATTTTGAGTCACTGTAACCCATCCTCGTACCTGGAAATTGAATGCAACTGATTGATCTTCCAAGATTTTTCTTGCTAGAGTAGTCTTCCCTATGCCTGGCATCCCAATAATTGGGATTACTTTTACACCTTCAAAGCTACTGAAGAGTCGATTCTTTATGATACTAACGTCATTTTGACGACCCACCATTATTGTGCCCTCCTCAAGCTTTGGATAGCACACAGACTGAGTATCATTGGCCTCATCATTATGAGCAGCTTCATTGCTTCTTGTGTTGTGGATAGTGCTCAACAGCTGTGCTGCATTTTCTGTTACATGATGCAAGGTTTGAATGAGTTGTTCTGAAGCTTCTTTTGGCAGGCTTTGCTCTTCTTTGGCCACACAAAAGTTTCTAAATTGTTTTTCGATGTCTTCTTTAGCTTTGATTACAAAGTGCCTGATTTGGATTTCAGCTCCGGATCCACCAAACTTGGATTTCAGTACAAATTCTTGCAAAGCAAAGAGATTTTCATGGAGAGATTGTAGTGGTGTTTGAACGTCGTCAGGCACCCATGCGCTGGGTGTGATATAAGACGACCTACGATAACGAGTATCCATTAATCTTCTCAAGAAATTAGTTAAATCATCACAACATTCACAAGTCTTCTGTCTCTCCTTTTCTTTGTTGATGATCTCCACCAGCTCTAGTACCCTCTTTTCTTCTGCTTGTTGCAAGGTTTGACACAATTCCTGGAAAGCTTCTTCTTCATGTACTGTGTCTTTGGCCAGAACAAAACTGCTGAGTTGTATCTTGATGCCATCTACAGCTAAATCTCTTATTTTGGTTTCCAAATCTTTGCTGATTGCAGCACGAAGTTTGGATGTATAAAGAAATCCTCGCAAAGAAGAAAGACTTTGAATGAGAGATTTGAATAGGGTTTGAATTCGATCATAAGCCACCCTCCTCGCGTTGGATTGTATAGACTTCATATGATGATGATCTATTATTCTCTTGAGATAAGTTAAATCATCATTCTGTCTCTTATTATACTCTTTTCCGCAGTTGATAATCTCCACCACATCTGCAGTCTTTTCTTGTGCTTGTTGGAAGATTTGACAGAGTTGCTGGGAAGCTGCTTCTTGATGCACTGGGTCGTCTTTGGCTTTGGCCACCACAAAGTTGCTTAGCTGTATTTCCATGTCATCTTCAACTTTGAGTGCACAGTCTCTTATTAGGCTTCCAAAATATTTGATTGCAGCACCACCGGCTCTGGATTTCACTTCCAGAAAGGCCTGCAAAATAGAAAGGTTTTCATAGAAAGATTTGATGATGGGTGCTACTTGATCATCATGAAGATGAAGAGGAAGTACTCTTGGGATGGGTTGCAGAAACTGAAGCTCAATTGTTGTCTTTAGAGAAGTTAAAGCAACATAACCCATCTCTCTTTCTCACACACTCACTTTTTTTCTGTTTGAATTGCAAGTTTGAGGTAGGTAGAAGATCAGAGTGAGTTATGAGAAATTTCAACGAAGAAGGTGATGGTTTTGGAGTTTCATCTCTCGAGAGTCGAGAACACCAACCCATCACATGGCCAACGAATCCGCACATGCTGGTTTTTAATTTGCTTAAGGAAATGAGTATTTTATAAAAAATGAAAATGACGGTATTAGTCCATCAATTATGTTTAAATCATAGACTCAATTCATAAATTATTATTTTATACAATGTTTTTTTAATTATAAAGATTTATTTTGATTTGTCAAATTATTAGAGCTGAGACATATGGAGTCCACTGGCACAAGAAGTCTGGGAATTGATCTCCCCCGATCACCATTGCGCAACAGCTCTCAAGCCATTCTCAGACTGGTTGGATTTAGGAGTCAAAGGTACGCTTAATAGAAGCCCTTCAAGTAGTAGCACTCTATTCGCTTTAACATGTTGGTGGCTGTGGAAATGACGCAACGAAGCTATCTTCAACGGCGTTGAATTCTCCCTAAACTCCAAGATTTCTTGGATTAAAGGCCAACTCGAAAACATAACTACAGCATTTGCCAAGACCAGAGGCGCTAAGTCTCACCAAAGTAATCAATCCTGGGGACTCAAAAAGTGGATCAAACCATTGGAAGACCGAGTTAAGATCAACATAGACGGATCGGTCGACCTGAACACAGGCAGGGCAGGAGGAGGAGGCGTCATAAGGAACTGGAATGGAGCATGGAAAGGTGGCTTCACTTTGGGGATTGGCATATGCTCACCACTAGCAGCTGAAGCTTGGGCCCTTTTAAAAGGAATCCAGCTGGGACTATCAAAAGGCTTAGCTTATCTAGACATTGAAAGCGACTGCAAGGAGCTGGTAACAGGCATTACAAATGGTAAAATTGACAATGTGATCGCACAGAACATAATCAATGCTTGCGAAAAGGAGTTAAGTAAGGTCGAAGAATGGAAAGTCTCCCTAATCTTCCGCGAGCAGAATGGCGTAGCAGACAAACTCGCTGCTATCTCCAGAAATCTCCCAAAGGGCATCCAAGTTCTCGATACCTCAATACAAGACGTAAAGGCACTGCTACAAGATGATAGCTACGGTATCCCAGCATGGCGACTAGCCTCAGATAGTTATATGTAAACTTTGTTTTCCTTGGGTCTACCCCTTCCATCTTGTTGAGTTTGTCTCATATATGGATTAGGAATAAGTGTTTGTCTCATACTAGGAGTAGGAGTGAAACGGGTAGACCTATAAATATATTGGTTGTATCCCTAAAGGATTGTGTCACCACCATTACCATCACTATGAATATAAGAATTGTTTCACTCCCGTGGATGTAGGCACTTTGCCGAACCACGTAAATCTTATTTTCTTTACCCTTTACTTTCAGCCATTATTATTGTTTCTTGTTCTTGTAATCTCAACAAATTGGTATCGTTGAGTTATCTTTTCTCCTAAAGAGCATATTCGCCAAGGTGGAGATTGTTGAGTTTGTCTCATATATGGATTAGGAATAAGTGTTTGTCTCATACTAGGAGTAGGAGTGAAACGGGTAGACCTATAAATATATTGGTTGTATCCCTAAAGGATTGTGTCACCACCATTACCATCACTATGAATATAAGAATTGTTTCACTCCCGTGGATGTAGGCACTTTGCCGAACCACGTAAATCTTATCTTCTTTACCCTTTACTTTCAGCCATTATTATTGTTTCTTGTTCTTGTAATCTCAACACATCTTATATAAAAAATTATTAGAGCTGAGACACATTGATGAGCTTATCACATTGATGATTTTAGGTGAATGTTGAGTTTTTGTAGTGTTGATTACACCAAAATATGAGATGATGCGAAGTTGACACCAAGTTAGTTGATAATGCATCCACCACTTCTTTAGAGTAAAAGACATTTTTGGTCCTAGACTTATAGTGGCACGGACAATTTTAGTCCTTTATAAAAAAATCAGACAATTTGTGGACACTCTTATTGTGACGAGGACAATTTTGGTCCTCCGTCACTCTTTCCGTTAAATGCCCCGTTTGAGAGGGGGTATTTGCGTCTTTTCATCATCCCTCCTTCTTCCAAGACCATTCCCACTATTTTCTCAAGCTCTGAAACTAGCGATGGTGATGCAGAATGAAGAATGGCCAACCCTATTAGGGGTTGGACAGTTTTTAGTCCTTTCAAGTAGTCTTGGCTTTATTTTTGGAGAGAAATCATCAATCTTCATGAGGTTTTATATTTGGAGAGAATTCATCAATTGATACCTCGCAATTTGTGGAGCTAATTTGCTAAAATCCTCACTCGATTTGCTTCAATTTAATGGTGTGTTTGTGCGTGCAAAGCAAGGCTGGAGGCGGCGAACGGTCGGATACGATTTCAGTGAACTTTTCGGCAATTTACGCGAACCTTCCCCTGTGATGCAGTCAAAACCCCAAGATTGGAAAGCTTCTTCATTGAACGGCAAAATAGACCCCCAACTTAGAATACTAAGACTCACTTATTATATGCAAATGGAGGAAGAAAATAATATATATATATGTCAGAGATTTTACATAAACATAAACAGATTTTACATTAATCATAAACAGATTTTACAGAGTTGTGGAACTATTCCCATAATCCAAACATTTCACCAAAAGCTATAATATAGCAGATGCAATCACTCCCTAATTTCAGCATTAATCATAAATAAATCTAGAACTCAAATCACAATATCAACGCCAATCTCAGACAAAGGAACTAAAATTTCATATGTAGAAACCTATACAAACCACTAGAATCAGTATGAACTACAAAGTAATTTATAACCACAAAATTTGCAGAAGCGACAGCCGACAGCAGTTGAATAGCAAAAAAAAAAAAAAAAAAAACATACTTAAGAAACAATAGAGATGAAATTCAAGTTCGGATTGTTGAATATAAACTAGCAGAACCAAATACAAATCACCAAGAGATTCTGCCAGTTAAGAATTCGAACTGGAAACATCACCTGAATGAAGCAGTCATGGAAAACGAGCCGCAAAAGTTGAGGAGCAATTCTAGGGCGCGTCATGTAAAGGCGCCTAACGACGGATTGGACTATGTGCTCCGCCTGAAGGCAAGTTTCGTCGTAGTAATCGTATCTGAGGCTCTCAGAATGCGTTGGAGCTTCAATCTTGTTGCCTGTAAATGAGAATGGAGATGCAGAAAGCGATTGCCATCAGATGGAGACCCGTTCAACATCTCAAACTCCGAAGAAGACGAAAATACCCCTCTCAAACGGGGCATTTAACGGAAAAGAGTGACGGAGGACCAAAATTGTCCTCGTCACAATAATAGTGTCCACAAATTGTCTGATTTTTTTATAAAGGACTAAAATTGTCCGTGCCACTATAAGTCTAGGACCAAAAATGTCTTTTACTCACTTCTTTATCTTCATATCATAACATATTGGCCTTCTTGGACAATCAGCTATTAGCAATTAACAATAAGCAAATAGTGAATTGTGTTAACGGGTTTAATTTGACTAACGGAGTATATCAACAATTTGTAAAAAGGTGTTTAGTAAAATTTGTTGTTTAAATTAGCAATTAACATTTAAAATAATCTAAAGACTATACATATATTTCATAATAATAATAATAATAATATTTTAAAAAAATTTAAAAATAAAAATAAAGACTAGCTACAGAGCGGCTCCCCTTTGTTTCCCTACTTACCCCACATCAGTGAGAGAATCGGAGAAATGGGAATGGAGCCTTGAGGCTCCTATGTCTCCTGGCCTGCCCATCCACTAAGCAAGCGGATGGATAGGCTTCTTATTTTAAGGAACATTTAAGGATATTACCAAGGCCGCAATTCCTCTCAACTATACATATCCAATACTTGAGCACTAGCAACTTCCCGGCCAGTTCCTCTAAACAAACTCTGAATCTATGCATTATATATCTATGTATATATTTGGGTCCATGATTTATGATTTCTTCAAGGTGCATCAACATTAGAATTGAATGAACTGAAGCATCAGAGCATAATAGTGACCAGCAGCTAGTAGGCATCTCCATTGCAACTAATGTTGGTGGTTAAAAAGTTGTGAAAAAATTATGCAAAATGAAGAAAACGAGATTGTAAAGACACTTGGCAACAAATTAGGAATGAATTGAATGGTTTTAATTTGCATTGTACCATCTAACCTCGATCAAATTTGTACTAGCTAGGTAGATTTCTGTTGCTTTTTTTGGAAGCAGCGGTTGGCAAAAGCAATAACCGAAGTGTTACTGATGTGAGCTTGTTTGTAGATGTTTTTCTTCTTGATTTGAATCTACTTTTGGGCCTAAGAGCATCTCTAATATAAAACATCAAATTCTGCACCAAATTTTACACCAAAAGAAATATTTCCAGTATATTTTTACACCAATTTTTTTTTAGGGAAAATGACACTTTTTCCCCCTAAGTTATATACTTATAGCACTTTTCCCCCTCAATTATTTATGTAAGCACATTAGCCCCCTCAATTATTTTAAAAGTGGTGGTTTTTCTCCCTGATATATTAAATTGACATTTCTACCCTTAAAGTAAACATTTTATTTATTTTACTTCTCCAACAAATTATTGTGTATATGTAGCAATGACCACGGTTCGATTTGAATTGAACCGGACACTATAGCAATTGAATTAAAAGTTTTCGGTTATGATTCAGATCTAGAATCCAATATTTAGATTTCAATTTATTAAATTTATGAACCAAAAAAACTGGATCATGAACCGTGAACCAGCGGTTCCGGATCCGGTTCGCGATTTTGAACCGTCTTTATTTTAAATTTTATTTTATTTTTTATTTTAAAATAGTCTAAATTCAACAATAAATGTATTTTATTTTTTCAGTTCGGAACATGAACCGGCCATTTCGATTTGCGATTTTAATAAACTCTAAATATCGTGTTTTGATTCTAGATTATAATTGGAATATTTTTGTTTGGTTGCTATAGTATCTGTTGGTTTGAACCAAATTATAGTAATAATTTGTTGGAGAAGAAAAATAAATGAAATATTTATTTTAAATGTTTATTTTAAATATTTATTTTAAGGGTAAATATGTTCATTTAACATTTTAGGGGGGAAAAGAGCCACTTAAATAATTCAGGGGGAAAAAGTGCTATAAGTATATAACTCAGGGGGAGAAAGTGTCATTTTCCCTTTTTTTTTTTCTTCTCCAACCCATTTACACCAAATTTTATTCCTACACTAAAATAATTTATATTGTCATAAATTAAAAGTTTATATTTGTACTTTTATTATTTTAATATAACATATAGTTATAATTTAATTTAATTTAATAAATTAAACTATAATTATGTTTTATGTAATTTTATTTTTAATTAAATTATAATTAATATTAGTCTTGTTTTAGTCGTCTTGATGAGATCTTTCAAATGATATAATTTTTTTAAAATAATATACAATTTATGTTTAAATATTTAACAAAATTTGTAAATATATAAAAACCAATAAGGATACAAAAGGAATTATAAAGGAAGATAAAAGGGCAAAGCAGGGGCAAAATAAGAAGAAAAAAGTAATTCAGAAAATGGCGTATTGGCGTGGATGAACAGTGTCGCGCCATATATGGCATGACACTATTCATCAACACCAAATTATTTAGTGTTTTGCCATCCCATTGAAGTTTTTTTTTTTGTCGCTTTACGCTAAATCTTTTGGCAATTTGGTGAAATGGCGTCCAATTGATGAATTTGAATGTAAAGAATTTCTACATTGGAGAAAAATAAAGACAATATAACTAATGAAATTATTTCTCTTATTTAATTGGGAAAATGGCGAGTTTGGTCCCTGAGTTATAATGGTAGTGACGACTCAGTCCCTGAGTTATGACCGTATCCATTTTAAGTCCCCCAGTTATGAGCAAAGTGGAGCATTTGGTCCCCGACCATTAAAAATGACGGAAAAATTTAAAAATATTTAAAATTTTAGGATAAAGTAAGAAATTCACATTTTATTCACTTTCTTATATTGGAACCACTTTTGCAACATTATTTTCAACTTCCTATCATTCTATTAAAGTTCTTTAATTCCAAAAGCAATTCAATAATCTTCGTATGACTTATTAGTAATCTGAGTCTCGTATAAGGAACATGTGACTCAGTACAAACAAGAGAACACTTAATCATTGTCTTCAAGCATGTAAAACACACCATCCTAAAAGTTTCTGATTTCCCTTACTAAACATAATGGTAATCAAACGATAACTTTTGAAATACAAGAAGATATCAAATTTCTCAGGTTATTTTATGACAAATTCACAAGGGAGTAACTTGAGATTTTTAGTATGTAAAATTCTTTCGTAAGCTCTGAAGTAACTTAATAAAAAAATCATATATCCTGACAATATATGAAAATTATATATATATATATATATATATATATATATATATATATATATATATATATATATATATATCACCTCCTCTATCTTCTTAAAAACCAAAGTAATGAATGAGAAACCTAAGACTCAGTTCTGAAAATTCTAAAGACTTTTATAACTTTTAAAAACAATTATTGACTAAACTACTGCATATAAAAAAAAAATTTACATACTAAAAATCTCAAGTTATTCCGTTGGTGAGTTTCTCATAAAAACAACCTAAGAAATTTGACATCATTATGTATCTCAAAAGTTCTGGTTTGATTACCTTTGTTGCTTAGTAAAGAAAATTGAAAATTGATAGGATAGTGTGTTCCACATGTCTGAAGACAATGATCAAGTGTTTCTTTGTTTGTGCTAAGTTAAGGTTTGTTATACGAGAGCCAGGTTCCTAACAAGTCATACTAAAAGTTATTGAAATGCTTTTAGAATTGAACAATCTTGAAATGAGAGGCTAAGAAGTGAAAAATAATGTTGTGAATGTGGTTTTGATATAAGGAGAATAAAATGTAAATTTTTTTACTTTACCCATCAAATTTTAAATATTTTTAAAATTTTCCCTCAATTTTAACGGTCGGGGACTAAATGCGCCACTTCGCTCATAACTGAGGAACTAAAAATAGATACGGTCATAACTCAGGTACTGAGTCGGATCTTGGGTATAACTCAGGGACCAAAGATGCAATTTTTCCTATTTAATTTATTGGCATTATAGACACATAATTCTAAATTAAAGAAATGCATATGTATTATTTTTTTGTTGTAGCTACTAAATTATTTAATTTAATAAGAATAAAAGAGAGTATTAATTATGTCAACTTTGATTGGAATGTGGTTCAGACCTAAGACCTTTCTTATTGAAATCAATGAGTAAGTTAACAGATAATATAATTTTTAAGGGAATTTTGATTGTGATAGTGTTCGAACCTAAGACTTTTTTTATTATTATTGAAATCATATAATTAAGGATAAATTTGAAAATCTCAAGGAAAATTAAAATATGATCAATTTGTACCAAGGATGGTCAATTGGTACAAAGTTGTTCCCCTATGTAGGAGGTGGTGAGTTTCTCGCTTCGATAGAGGCGATTATGATGACATCCTTCTATCCTTCTATATATTAAAGCCATATAGCCATGACCAATCAAATTGCTTCATTTTTCCGCCCACTTAAAACTACGTCATGTTAATCATTGTGTGTTTAAGCTTCAGATTTTTTTTTTAAACACATTGCTTTAAACCCACTGATCAGGTTTAGCTTTCGTTAATTATCTATTTGGATGGCTGAATTAATGGCTTTGAAAGCCCCGAGCCAAGGCACACGCGCATAATTCCAATAACCTCGGAAATCGAAGAGTAGGCTGTAAATTACAAATTTCATCTGAGTAATGTGAATACAAAAATTTTGAAATAACATTTGAAATAGCATAATCATTATGATGTATTGTTCCAAAGAAGGACTCTTCGTTTCTCTATGATAGTTTTGATTTAAGTCTTCCTCTATATAAAGAAGTCCACTCAGATGAAGAACTGCAACCCTGAAAAACTTTCGCATAATACGTATTACTTTGCAAAAGAAAAAGTCTTCCCAATATGTATATGTGAAGGATATCAGCTCACTGTACATGCGAGCAATAAGAGTTAGATACCATAGAAGTTAGAGAAGGCGAAATCATCAAAAGTAAAGAATGTTTATTTTACGAGGTAAAAAAAAATTTCCAATTTTGTTTTTGTTTTTTTATCATACTAACAGCAGTTTTCCAGGTCTTTTTGTCTCTGTTTTATGAATAAAACAAATATGGACTTATGTAGTGTTAATTTACTTACACAGACCTTGATGTATGTATGTGCCTAGAATATATATATATATATATATATATATATATATATATATATATATATATATATATATATATATATATATATATATATTAGCTTCAACATTAAATGTTGTGGACTAAGTTAATGAATATATGAACAGTATGAATGAAGCAACTTCTAAGACATATTTGAGTTGTGATTCGGTATGCAAGTCAGATACAAATGTTGATATGTTATCAAAGGTTCACACACAAACAAAAAATTCTAAACAGTTTGAGATGCTCCGGTGTTACAAACCATTTTTTAACATTAAAGGTTGGATCGCCAATTATGCTTTTGCGAAATGTAGACCACTCAATGGGATTGTGTAACGAGACAAGGTTGATCATTACACAATTAGGAAACCATGTCATTGAAGCTCAAATTTTTTGTGGAAACAATATAGGTAACAAGGTTCTAATACCACGATTGGCATTAACTCTTTCAGACCCAAAGACCTGTTTAAATTTCAGAGGAAGCAATTTCCAGTCATGTTGTCATACGTCATACGCTATGACAATAAACAAAAGTCAAGGGCAAACTTTATCTCATGTGGGACTGCTATTAAAGAAACATGTATTTAACCATGGTTAGTTGTACGTAGCAGCCTCGAGGGTTAGTAATCTAGATGGTCTCAAACTCTTAATATGTGGGGACTATACTGTTTATTTGAACACAACACGAAATGTAGTTTACTATTAAATTTTCAATAATTTGTAATATTTTTGAATTTTCAATGTCATATCCTAATATTAATATTATTCTGTATATATGTAATAGTAATTTTACATTTTGTAATGCATTCGGTTTTCAAAATATATTTATACTTCAATTATAATAAGACTAACAATTATTATCAATTTCTTAACATAGATACAGTATTTCAAATTTTTAGTCCGTGCATCGCACGGGTGAAATACTAATAGTTTATATATATATATATATATATATATATATATATATATATATATATATATATATATATATATGTATGTATGTATGTATGTATGTATGTATATATATATATATATATATATATATATATATATATATATATATGTATGTATGTATATATATATATATATATATATATATATATATATATATATATATACATACATACATATATATATATATATATATATATATATATATATATATATATATATATGTGATTGCTCAAATATGGTCAATGCATTACGCGCGGCGTGTGTGGCTGTATCTGGGACGTCCATTGTGTTTAATCTAATGGCAACAACATATCAGCTGATTTAAGGAAGGCTTATTTTCGCGTTTGGTAAGTGGGGGTCTTTTTGTAATTTTGATGGTTGGTTACGTGAAGGTATATAAGTTGCGTTTCTAATTTTCACCGCTGAGACAGACCGCAACTGGGAGAAGATCAAGATCACCGGAGAGCACTATCGCAATTAGGGATTGCGATCGCAATTGGAGAATATTGCCGAAGATCACAATCGCAATTGGAGATTGCCATCGCAATTGGAGAATATCGCCGAAGATCACAATCGCAATTGGAGAATATCGGTTTTGAGCGATGGAGCCTGGTATATTTTTTTTTTTTGAGGTTTTTAGTTTTAATTTGTTATTATTATTATGTGTTTGTTCTGTTTCGGATGTTTATCTTGTGTTTTTATCTGGTTTGGCGGTGTTCTGATGGTGAGATCAGTTTCCGGTGTTGACTATGGTATTGTGTGTTGTGTTTGTGATTATGGTGCGATATTTGTATGATTGTGGTGAATATTTTGTTGTTGGTGTGATTTGTAGTTTTCAGATTTTGTGCATATGTATGTTGCATGTAGGTAGTGTATTTGTGTGTTATTGGATTAAATTTGGTGTGTTATTAGGTAACTTGTGGTGTGCAGCTGTCAATTTGGACTCTGTTGGTGGTGTTTGCGATAAAGATAATTCAACTGATGTTGGTGGTTGTGATGAACTTAATTTGGACTCTGTTGGTGTAGAAGGTATTGGTGGTTGTGATGAAGTTAAATCCTCTGATGTTGGTGTACAAGGTAGTGATGGGAGTTGCAATGAAGGTAATTCTACCGATGTTGGTGTAGAAGGCAATGGTGGTTGTTGCAATGAAGACTATTTCACTGATGCCGAGGTAGGAGGCAGTGTATGTGATTTGGAAATTTCTCCTGGGCTGAACAAATATTGGTGCCCAGTTTGTGCTGACAGTTTGAAGCCTCATGTGGGGCAAAAATTTGATTCTTTAGATGGTGCTATTGCTTTTTATAAACAATATGCTGGGGCTGTTGGTTTTTATTGTAGGCAGGGCTCAAATCGGAGGAGGAGGGATGGCGTTGTTGTGGAGAAACATGTGTTATGCAGTCGTGAGGGGTTTAAGCAGACTATTTCGGTTGATGCTAAAACTAATAAGGTGAAGAGACGGAGGGTGACAAATAGGGTTGGGTATAAGGTTAAGGTGGTCTATAAGCTCAAGTCCAATGGTTTTTGTATAGTGTGCATTTTCTGGAGGAACGCCACACTCATTTGATGTGTTCATTATTGCTAGGCAATTTTTAAAGGTGAATCGCAGTCTTGATGCTGGACACCAAATGTTCATTGCGAGTTGTTTTCGGGCAAATATTGGTTCTGTTCGGTCATATAGGTTGTTTAAGGAGATTGTTGGTGATTATTCTAATGTTGGTGCTACAGGTGTGGATTTTAAGAATTTCAAACGTGATTTGATGGCGTACATATTAAATGGCGATGCTCAATTATTCATAGATACGCTTTTCAAGAGGCGTGAATTGTGTGAGGCTTTTGATTTTGAATATGATGTTGACGATGTTGATCAACTTTCAAGTGTTTTTTGGGCTGATGCAGTATCTAGGAAGAATTTTGCTTTGTTTGGTGATGTTGTTTCATTCGATGCTACATATCGTACTAATAGGTTAGTAATTTGTGTTTATTGTGCATTTTGTACATGCTTATGGTGCATATGTTTGGGTCTTATAGTGTGTTTTGTTAGGATGTTGGTGATAAGTATTTGTTGTGTTTTCCATTATGTAGGTATAAGTTGGTTTTTGTTCCATTTACTGGAATTGATAACCATAAGAGATCCATCACCTTTGGTGCTGGTTTGCTTACAAGGGAAGATGTAGATTCATATGTGTGGCTTTTGGAGAAATTTAAGAAAACCATGCGCCATGACCCTATTTGTGTTGTCACTGATCAAGATCCAGCTGTCAAGGTTGTTGTTGCTCGTGTGTTTGGTACATCAAAACATAGATTTTGCATGTGGCATATAATGTGTAAGGTTGGTGAGAAGGTTGGACCGGTTTTGTCTAAAGATGAGGTGTTCCGGAGGAAGTTGAATGGCATTGTTTGGAACAAATCTCTTGACTCCAATGCTTTTGAGGATGCATGAAGTCGTATTATGGAGGAATATGGTTTGGGTGATAATGGTTGGTTTCGTTATTTGTTTGAGTCTCGTACATTTTGGGCATCTCCATATTTTCATGATGAGTTTATGTCGGGCTTGGTTAGGATAACTTCTCGATCAGAATCTCAAAATAGTTTTTTTGGCAGTTTCTCTAATGGTCATTCTAGTTTGGTTGAGTTTTTGTTGCATTTTGGCAGTGCTATTGGTGCACAATGTCATACTCAAGCAAAATTGAATGTTGATTGTGAATCTTGTTTTCCTATTTTGAAGACAACATTGGCTTTGGAGAAGCATGCAATGGATGTTTACACCATTTCTGTATTTTATGATGTTCAAGTAGAGATTTGTGCAACTTGCTTTTCTTGTCGAGTGGCATCTTTGTGCGATTGTGATGGTCATGTGTCTTATGTGATAAAAGATGGTGACCATCGGCCATGGTGTGTGGAGCTTGTTTTGTCTGATTACACTGCTACTTGTTCTTGCAAGATGTTTGAGCGGAAGGGGTTGTTGTGAAGGCATATTTTTTTTTGTTTTTAAAGATCGTGGACTTGAGAGCATTCCTTCGAGGTATTTGGTGGATCGGTGGACAAAAGGTGCTTGTTTGAAGCCAATATTTGATATTGATGATACAATTGTTGATCAATCTTCTAAAGTGGAGAATGTTAGGGTGCTTACTAATATACTGTGGTCTGACATATATGCTTGTGTGGGATTGGCCGATGGTAATATAGAACGTTTGTCACAGCTACGACGTGTTATTTGTGAGCAAAGGTAATTATTTTTACAAGAAGGTAGTGAGAATGGCAATGGGGTGGCTGGTGGCAGCAAGCAAAGCGTGATTAATTCATTTTGTGGAGTTGTGTCTCAGGAGTCAACAGTGGAGGTGCGTGACCTATCCAAGCTAAAAACAAGGACAGTGGCAAGCGGTTGAAGAGTGCAAGGGAGAAAGCTGCCCATAAGTGTGTAAAGCAATCAAGAAAATGTCATACCTGTGATGAATATGGTCATAATAGTAGGACATGCCCTTTAAATGGTTAGATAGGTCTTTGTTTTTTTTTTTTTTTTTTTTTTTTTTTTTTTTTTTTTTTGCTTTCTTTTGGACTTAGATGTTTTTACAGTTGTGCACACATTTTATCTTATAACATAGAATCAGGATTTGCAATATAATTTAAATTGTGCATTTTATTACAGCATGTTGTCCGTTTAACACAAGTTATAGTGCGTTCTATAATGTATATTGGTGCATTTGGATATGTTTGAGAATGGTGTGTTTTACTCTGTCATCTGGTGCATTATTGTATTTAGAATGATGTGGTCCGTTTTAATTAACGGTGCGGTGCTTTTTTATATATGATGTTGGTGCATTTGAATTCCTGGAATGGTGTCTTTCGAGTTTATCATGTAGTGGTGTGATTTAATCTAGTATCTGGCATGTATTTTAACACTTTGTTTACTGACGTGTAAGATTGCTTGTTGTGGTGCATATTAGTTCTTATAATGGTGCTTTTAAGTGGGGCATTTTTAAAGAGCAGTTCAATCACGTACATAGTGCATTGTAGCGCTCCAAATGGTGTGTTATATTTGTTCCAATTACATAGTGCATTCACATTGTCTGTGTGCCATCACAAAAGAGTAACTAGTTTAAAAGTAATCACAAAAATATAGACATCAACCATTCAAATGTCTATCTGCCACCTAAATTTCTTTTCAAACACCAAACTCTATTGCCTGCTGAATGTTCCTTTCTCTGTGCTCGTTTACATCTGACATGACTATGGCAGTCAAGTATCTCACTCTTAGTTTGTTCAATTGGTCCTTGTTGTTCTTATGCAATCCACATTACCATTCTCCTTGTGTTTGTCCTCGGAAAGTCTCCAAATGGTGCATGAGAAAAATGCCACAATCCACCTTGTTCTGGGCATCTCTCCAAGGCATTTTCATTAGATTTTATGCAATCCACATTGCCATTCTCCTTGTGTTAGATTTTAGTTTCTGCACTTTCTCAGCTTTGTACGTGGATTTCATATCAAACAAGAACTTTGAAAAGAATTTTTGCTGCATCAAGTAATTGCATACAAATATTAGTATTCTGTTGTCTTTGTCTATCAAATATACATAATCATTTAGGATTTCGTGTGTTACCAGATTTGCAATCACATATCCATACTTGCTTTCCTTCTTCACAGTCACTGAAGAGTTGTCAATAATGTCGTACCTTTCCATTATCGGGCTAATAGATCAGACATCATGTAGTAGTGGTTGGATGCCACTATTGGAAACAGAAACTATCATAGCAACAAAGACTTAATTTAGTATGGTTAGCATGAACACACCAACATGTGTCACAATATGCACCAAAGTCTGGATAGTAATACACCATACACAAGTAACTACTAGAATGCACCAACCAAAGTTTAAAGTCAAAATTCAACTAGTAAGAAAATATAAAGCAGTGAATATAATATATTAATATCTTACATATAGAATTTTGTGCCACATAACGTCTACTGCAATGGTCTTATCCTCAAGGTACTTTGCTTTGAATCTTCCAAATCTCACATCCTCATCTCCTTGTGGGTCCACAACTGTGTACAGCTGCAAAGTTCAATGGTATTTTTGTTAGAACTTTAAGCTTTTTAAAGAAGAAGTCAGTTTTGTATTTTTTTTCACTTACAGTTGACCATGCTGAAGCAATGAATTTTGTACAACTCCTCTCTGATTCGCGAATGTTGATTATGGTTGACCAAGCATCAATTATAGAGACTGGAATTGTTGTATCTGGCTTCATTGTCAGCATATCTTTCCAGTAGATTACTCTTCCTTCATAATTGAATAGTTATTGGGTCCTTGTAATACGTATACAGAAGATAATATAAATAAAATGCAGGAATAATGTATATTATAAGCACCAAAGCTAGTAATATACCAACATAATCAATAAATACACCAAAGATATATTAGTTACACACCACAATCAGTTAACAAATCATTTAATGTGAACAGACCAACGCATACCAAAATATGCACTATTAACATGTGTATAACACACTACCACTTGTATACTAATGGGGTCCCCCACCCAATGTGTGAAAGCACAAATCATATCATATAAACACACCAACTCTTATCAAATAATGCATCAGTTAATATAAGATATTTATACACCAACAGTATTATATAATGCACCAACATATATCAGTAACACACCAACTTTTAGAATGTGTTGTGCTTATAGATTTGGGTTAGGGTTTTCCAATACCCATTTCCTGATTGCTTCTTCTGTTGCAGATATTGGTGGGTCCAGATCAAGTACGTATGGGGATGGTCTTGGTCTAATTGGGCTGTTTACCCTAGCTGGTCCTTTCCCCTTGTCTGCTGGTTGTGGTAGGTGTGGTGGATCTGAACCAGGGGCCTCCTGGCCTTGGCTTACTGGTGTGATCTGTAACATTTAAAGTTTAGTGTCTGATTTTTATTTTTATTTTTATTTTTCCTTTTTCTGTGTTGTCAAGTTAATAGAATGTTTTTACCTCATCATTTGTGTTCCCAGGTTCAGCTTCTTGCCCACCTTCTTGATTTTGGGCCTTGTTTATGTTCTCTGTGTTTTCTTGAGCTTTCTCTGTTGCTTGACCCTCTAGCCCATCCAATTGGACTTCTTCATTTTCCGGAGCTTCATCAATGTCTTGATAGTCTTGTGCAATATCATTCACAGTTGTCGAGTCTCTATTTGGTCCCTCTTATGACAATCCCAGGCTGAAAGTTGGCATATGATTTATAAAAGTCCTCTTTTTTACACTGCACGGACAATTTCGTCAACCGCTTTCAAGAACTCAGGGTCACTCCAATAGGCATCTTCTTGCTGGGTAAATGTCAGTTGTCCATCTTCCTGTGCTTTGAATCCAAGCATCTGTCTAGCAGATTCAAACATCTGCTTGAATGTATCATGCTCCAATACTGTTGCAGGTGCATTTTCAATCAGCCTTGAAATTCTCAGTAAACTTTGTGCAATCGTCCTTGTGTTGCTAGTAACTTCATCAATAAAATCTTGTATATGCACCAGAAAGTTATGCTCAATCAACGATAAGTAAAGCACCAGCAAAAAGAGTGCCCCACACTAATGAAGGACTGTAGTATAAACACACCAATATATAGGGAAGTATGCACTAAATACTGCTAGGCAGTATTTAGTTCACTAAATACTGAAGTACTTCACTAAATATGCACTAAGTACACCAAAAAAAAAAAAAAAAAAAACTGCTCAGATCAATACCCTTTTAAAATCCATAACAAATTATAAATAAAATCACCAGATTACACACAAAAAAAAAAAATACCCCCATGAGTCTGTTTACAGTGTTCTGTTTACCTGTAATCCATGGAGAAGTGGTGCATTTTCTTCATATTCTGGTGGTTGGGGTGGTATATCAGATTGTCCTATGCTGGGGTTCCGTTCACTACGTGGTGTGCTCTCCACTGGCAAGGTATCATCAACCCGCCCATATCCAAAGCCTCCAGATTTGAGCTCATCTTGTTGTCGTTGACGGAGCAACTTAAATGTCCAATTCTTCATGGCAGGGAAGCTTTTTGGGATAGTCCTCCGGTACAGGACAACACGGTCAACATAGAATACCTGCATTTGGTAGTTTAGATTACTAATATATTGATGTGTAATTAATTACAAGCATGTTTGGGGGCTTATTTACCGTTAGAAAAACAATTGGGCCTCCATATCTTCCATCAGCGCTTTCTAACCATGCCTGCTTGCTGGTGATGAGTGAGTTGATGAGCATTCTACACCAATTTAGCCTCTTGATGTTGCGTACATTAAGAAGGTTGTCGATGTAGTTTTGGTTGACATAACCATTGACTTGTGGCTCAACCAACACACTCATAACAAGCAGTGCAAAATGCCTTTTGAACCAAGGGTCACCATGTTTTAATGTTAGCATCTTTTCAGCCATGACGTGGGGGGTGATGTGGCCAGTATCCTTCCCAAAGATTTTTCTCTAGTCTGTTAGGAGATCAGATACTTGTTTGGATGCCCTCTTAGTGATTTCTATGTCTCCAAGTGGCAGTCTCAAAGTAGCAACAACATCCTCTTCTGTGATTGGGAGCCTTTCACCAGTTGGTAGATTCAATGTGTTGCTCTTAGAGTCATAGTTTTCAACTAGCCACATCCCCAACTTCCTTGGCAGGTTGGTGATGTTGAGATCAAGTATCCTTCCTAACCCAATATCTTCTACGCTTTGGCGTTGTTGACGGGTCAGCGATTCAATTGGTTTCGTTAGCTATGTGGGCAGGGGCCGTATCTTTAGGTCTGTTTCTTCATCTTGAACTTCACCATCAGAGCTGTCATCAACAACTTGCTCTTGTATTTCTGTTTCTATTCTGTCACGGAATGCCAGTGCTACTTGCTTCCGTTGATGTTTTGGCTTTGATGATTCTCCTTGTTCTAATGCCTTTCTCTTCTTGTCTGCATGAATTCAGTGATATTAATCTAAACATGATATACCTTCAGTGTTAAAAGATACCCTAATGTAGGGTAAAAATGAACTCATATCCCAAATAAAACAAACAACAATTTTATTTTCCATATTCAAGTTACATAGTACAGAATACACCAATACTAAATTAAATACACACTACAATCACGCTGATAATGCACAAAACAACAGAATATGAGATGTCATAGTCTGAAATGTACTAAAAACACACCAATATTAGGTTAAGATACACCAATCACCCAAATAAAACACACAACAGTGTTATTTTCTCTATTCAAGTTACATAGTCCAGAATATACCAATACTAACCGAAATATACACTACATTCACGCTGATAATCCCCAGACAACACAATATGAGATGTCGTAGTCAGAATGGCACCAAAAACACACTAATATACGTCAAGACACACCGATCATCCAAATAAAACACACAACAATGTTATTTGCTCTATTCCTTTTACACAATACAAAATACACGAATAATAACGGAAATATCAAATACTGTCATGTTGAAGTTGGTTTTTGTGTCTAGAGTTTGAGTGCATACCCTTCGGCGCTGGCTGTTTGCCCTTCGTCACTGGTTGTTTGCCTTTGTTCACCATCTTTTGCGGTGTCGTAGTCGAACTGGTTTGTGGTGTAGGGTTTCTGCTTTCTATCGCAACGTGGTGGTGTGTTTTGACAGTAGCTTCTTGTTTTTGTGCTGAGGCGATCGTCGATGAAGTCGATCGTCGTGTTCGCGTAGGCTTCGTCGTCGTTGGGAGTAGTGAAACTGTTCTCGTGCTTTGGGATTGTGAATACGCGAATGGACCGGTGTAGCTTGTAGAAGGAGGAAAGTTTTAGTTTTGAATTAGAATTATTGGACAACTTTGCCCCCTCCGTCGCGGTTATGTCGAAGTCAAGCGCGCAAATGAAGAATCGTTATGGTCCGTTGATCTGCTTTAATCCAATGGCCCTTATATGATCGCACTGTCGCACCTACTGCTATAGCCGCATGGGATCTCTCCTCTATACATATATATATATATATATATATATATATATATATATATATATATATATATATATATATATATATATATATATATATATATATATATCAAATCTTGAAAAATAGGTAAAATATTACATTACATTGGCATTATTATAATGTAATATCTATTGAGTTAATACCCAAAATCGTCCTCGACTATAGTGGTTTTTCTCAATTTCGTCCTAAACGACTTTGGTGACCTAATATCGTCCCAGACTTTTGTGTTTTACTCAATTTAGTCCTCCATTTGTTATTCCGTCAAATTGGTGTTAAATAAAGGGACAATTCAGTAATGTCAATATTGATCTCTCTTTACTTTCAACTTGTGAAGTGCGAAATTCCTCTTTCTTGTACGAATTACACCCAGAATTACTCTCGGACCTGCAAATCAAATTTTATATTCGCAGTTTTAGGAGTAATTTGTAAAAAAAAAAAAAAAGGATTTCGCAGTTCACATGTCTATGAGTAAAGAGATGCCAATATTAAAATTACTGAATTGTCTATTTATTTAACACCAAATGGACAGAATAACAAATGAAAGACTAAATTGAGCAAAAACACAAAAGTCTGGGACTAAATTGAGCAAAAACACAAAAGTCTGGGACTAAATTGAGCGAAACACAAAAGTCTGGGACGATATTAGGTCACCAAAGTCGTTTAGGACGAAATTGAGAAAAACCACTAAGTCAAGGACGATTTTGGGTATTAACTCAATATCTATTCATATATACTTTCTCAACTTATTAAAGCTCAAAGAGTCAATGTTCCACTGAAGTTCGAACTTGTAACCAGTAGGGTCAAACATGTGACCTCCATTTGGAAGAGTCACAACATTGTCATTGAGGGCAATTTATATCGTGCACCAGGGCGCACATTGCCTTGTGGGCCCTGTTGCAAAACGACGTCGTTTTGCACATTTTAAAAAAAAAAATTCTTTTTTCCGTGTTTGCGGTTAACTTGTTAAAAAAAATTCATGTTTTGAAAATGTACATAATTTTATAACAGAATACACATAAACTTTTAACTGTTAAAAAAATCGCGTGTTCGAATGTACATAATTGTATAAAAAAAATGTACATAATTATGTAAAATAATGTACATAATTGTATACCAGAATGTACATAATTGTATAACATAATGTGCATAATTATATAACATAATACACATACACTCTGTCTCGTCGATTCTCCATACAACTTAACAAAACAACGTCGATTTGGAGGCGCGGGACGTACAGTGCTTGTGCACCCTGGTGCAGGGTATAACGATTAGTCATTGAGCTACGAACTGTTTGGCCTGCATTTGGTATTTATGCTTAGATTGTTAAGATATGTTTACATGTAGTTTATCCACACATGAATACAGGATGGTAACTAAAGTTGTCACCAGTGTTTGGGAACTCCATGAATATAATCTCAATTTTTGGAATTCTTTTTGTTGGCAAAGATTAGTAAGGACCAAGTCCAACACCATATAGTTAAAAGGGATTGTTGACAAAAGCCAATAAAAGGTTCAAGTCCAGTACCCTGATTTTAGAAAATGTGTGAAAGTATAAAAAATATAAAATTATGTGTTCACTACTATCTATAATTTTTAGCGTAATAATAAGCGTTTGATCCTAACACTTTCCAAATCTTTAATTGCAGCAGCAGAAGCACCACTGGATTCCTGTAGAAAGACAGGCAAAGAAAAAAAGATTGGAATGCTAAATTGTTGAGCTGAGAGAAGCTAAAGCAACGCAAGCCAAAGATGTTGAGATTGACCAAAATATATAACATTGTTTCCCAAAATGCGTTCATTTAATGAATGAATGGATATCTCATCCAATATAATAAATACAAAAGTACATTTACAGACCTTCTGGATCCACAAAGAATTAATCATAAATATATGAAGAAAGCACCAAGAGAAGATACCACCTTTACTAACCTAAATAAAAGTAAAAGGTATGGATGTCAAGTTTAGTTAATCAGAGGATGGTAGTGAATCCATGCAAAGATGGATTAGTTTTCTTTGGTATTGCCCATAATATTCAACAACCGCAATCGAGTCTACATTTTCAGGACTCAGTCCGGGCAAGTTAACCAACTTATCCTTCACTGCTGCTATAGTGCGTTTCGTCATCCAAATCCAAACTTGACAAGAGTTCAGCATGTATTTCACGGCAAGCAAGAATAAACATTGCTGCTGTGTCTGGTTGCTGTGCCTCACGCAGTGCTGCCAATGCCTCTTGAAATGCGCCAGCTGCGACATACAAGATAAGTGCCCTGCAAACCATCACGATAGGTTAAGGAAAACCATCCAAAACTATTAGAAATCGAAGATCACTGAAAATATTGTACCTCCAAATGTTATGTTCAGCATGTAGCACATGCCCAGCCCACCATTGCAAAACCCTTCAGGATAAAGCACAGAAAAATAAGAATACTCCAAACACAGTTGCAATTAATACTATGAATACAGACATTTGACTTTCAAATCTCTAGTGAGTGCAAGTCAAACAACTGCATACAACTAAACTTTCCAACAAGAAAGGTTCCGTGGATTTTTTTGACAGCTAGCATCTAATATGCTGCTGACACTGTATCGAAAAACTTATTCCCTCCGTGCAGTAGGGTGCTTGACAGCATTTGGTTCTTGTCCTTGTCCAAATTAGGAAAAGCAGACCAGACACCACAGACATGATAAGAACTTTATAGTCTAACAGATAAGCATGCGCATGGTTAAATGCAGAGGCATTACCATGAGAAGACTGTAAATAATGTCCATTCAAACTTATTAATTGACACATCAAACTTATGGATCTAATAATAGTAGCAGTTCAGAGCTTCAATGTCCATTCAATCATTCTTACAAATTTGAGAGAAGTAAATAACCTTGCATAGTCAGATCCTTTTAAATGCGAAGCAGCTAATGTTGCAGCATCTGTCCAGCATCTGGCATCTTGTAGCTGACACAGAGAACAGTGAAGATCAGCTCAAATATATATCAAATATATATATATATATATATAGGGGAGGGTTCATGTGAGAACATGCTCCCAAGTACTGATCTGATCTATCCATTTAGATAGATCAACGGTTGAGTGTTGCATAAAATTAAGGGGAAAAAGGAGCAAGGTCAGTTTTATAAATATTGCAAACTTAAAAGTTTGTAATAATTATAAAATTGACCCGTGTTTTTCCACTAAAACCCTCAACCATTGATGAACTCTAATGGGCGGCTGTGACTCGTCCTCACTTTTTACCAGAGGACCTTGCCAATACCTCTTGAAATGTCCAAAATGAAAGAAATTTAACAGTTGCAACCAATATGTGAAATCAAGAACATGACCAGATGTAAAGGTCTAAAGGAAGGGTAAGGAGAAATATCAACATGCTTCCAAGTTCAAATCATAAAGAATGATGACACTTGAAAGTGAATGCTATATTGGGAAATAGCAAAACTTAGAAGATTTCTTCCAAATTTAACATGATCTTGAAAGCAAAAAACCTTCGCACTGTTATATGAGCAAATGGGGGCATGGTACCTGAGAACAAGCTTCTTGATACCTCCCAACTGCACAAAGCAGATGTGTGCCAGATAATGAATTGTCTGTTCTAACCATATTTGCGGCAACCACCTGTGCAAGTATAGCAAGAAGTGATTAAGTATGAGATGAATATCCAAATAAAGTCTAGCATAAAAGGAAGCAGTTAGAGAAGCAAGTACCTCCACTGCAAGTTCAAGTAGAGACTTTGACACTGCAGATGAAAGAGCAACAGCACGTAATGCTTTTGCATAAAAATATGAGCTTTTTGGAGGAGTTGAAAGTAGCAAACTAACAGCAGCTTCTAAGTTTCCAACGGACAATACAATTGTTGTTAGAAACTCAATACATACAATACAAACGTATAAAACACATATTCCAATGAAAAAACTCAATCCCATCATCAAAATAATGCAAATTCCAACCTGAAACTTTTGTTCCATTGCATGAATTTCATTTATCTTCTGAATGAGGATAGTCCATAAAATACAGCCCTGTCGATTATGAGCTAAGAAAGGAAAAAGCAAAATGGAGAAAATAAACTGAGATCATATAAAGAAATTAACAGTAACAGATTTTTTAAAGAATAGAATTTAAATAATTAATTATCAAGAATGAATGGCATTTTAGCTTCTAACCTCAACTAGACCGAACAAATGATTGCTAATGAGCTGCTTGGCAGAAGCAACAATGGAAGGGTTACACCCATCCAGCTCAATATGCTTCAAGTCGGGACCAACAAAGCTTAATGGAATTTGTTCCAGAAAATAACATCTTAGGACTAGATGCTCAAAACGTAATAAAGTGTATGTTTCATCAATTTGCAATTGCTTGAGTTTTTTATCCTCAATGAGCAAGAATCTTAATTTACGAAATTCTCCTCTAGCTACTTCCCACACTCTTTCCAATAAGGCATTTTCAAGCTTGAGCACCCTAAGCTCCGGCAACATTCCAATTGCCGTTAAATCTCTTTGAGAAAGTTTAGCCCCACTCAAGTTTAACTTCTTCAATTGTGAAGGAAACATAAACCTTTCAGGAAGGGTTACAATGCAACCAATCGAAATTGAAATTGTTAGCCTTTCAAGCCATTCCAAATAGTCCAGATTATACAAAGTGATTGGATTGCTAGAAGAACTACCAATGTGACTGGGCACCAAGTCTTCTTTATAAAAAAGTTCCAGTTTTCTTATTTTTGGAAAATCGAAATGCACTTCCCTTCCACAATGAGTTGGGCTCACCAAAGATAACGTTCGCAAATCCATTAACCACACTTGGAGGATTGTCTATTGTATACATATCACCAAGTTCAAGATGCCTCAAGTGTGGTAACTCCCAAATAGTGGATGGCAAATGAATTATAGGTGCTCCAATTTGTGGTTCATGACTGGAAACAATAAGTGTCTGCAAATTTGGGTTATTTGACACTATATTACCTAACCCCTCAAACCTTTGACTTATAAATAAGTATCTCAAAAAAATTAAATGCCTCGAATGCATTGACACTCTTTGAAGGAATGGAGATGGAACAAAGGCCAAAACTCTTAACAGCTTGAAAGGTACAAAAGTTTTAGGATCATCATCAAAGAAAAAAATGGAGCGAGGTTTGTTTGTACTAAACAACACGTAATAGTCGAAAGTATGTGCATATAAACTTAACCAACGACTTGAATTTGCAAACTCACTTAATGGCAATGCAGTATGTTGCAGAGTATTTACTGCACAAAAAATACCTGCTTTTTGAGCTTCTCCAACACAAAAGCTATGTAAGGCACTATGCATCCTACAAGTCTTAATTTTGCCATCGCCATCACGACCTTGGTTGCATATTAAGAGGAGACTTCTATCAATAAGTTCTTGTAAATACACATAACCTTGATTTTCTAACTCTTCATGCTCCAATGGCTCCAAAAATCCCTCAGCAATCCACAAACCAAAAAGCTTTTTAACTTGGATTTCTTTACGTTTTGGAAAGACTCCAAAATATAAAAAGCAAACTTTCAAATGTTCCGACAATTGATTGTAATGGAAAGTGAGAGCATTGTGATCTAGAATTCCCAGTGACTCCATTTCCTTTTTGACCTTCTCCCACTCCTTTAATATGTCATGACATTTAGCCAGACGCTTTGCAACTGCAACAATAGACCATGGTAGTCCATCACATATCTCTACAATATGACTCTTGATTTTCTCAAATTCAAGCGCCACACGGCCTTTAAGAGAAACCATATTATTGAAAAATAGATCCCAACTTTGGTTTTGATCTAGCAAAGTCATGTAATGGGTATACTCATGGTGATAGAAAATAGGGTCGAATCTGAGATTGAAGTTCCCAGTGGTTAGCAGTATGGTACTCCCAGGATCACTGCAACAAACACACATTTGGATATCATGCAAAGCTCGACTGTCGTGTATGTTATCCAATACAATTAGAAACCTTTTGGCACGCAATTGTGTCCTTACCTGCTCTGCCAGATTACCAGGAGCACTTCCTTTTCCAAATTTGTTTTCCACTGCGGGTAAAATTGAACGAAGAAGGAGGCGTAATATTTGGCTCTTGTTGTATTCTTGAGGCATTGTAATCCACCCACGTACATCAAAATAATCTTCAACTTGTGGATCTCCATACACACTTTTAGCTAAAGTGGTCTTTCCAATGCCCATCATGCCAACAATGAAGATCAAACTTATTTTTTCACGATGATAAGAGTAGCCTGTGATGATATTGTAATGAGAGTTTGGGATGAGATTGTTGATTATCTCTTCACGATCACGGTGACGACCCACAAGCTCTGGAGAGCACTGTGAGAATCCATCCCATTTATCATTCTCAAACTCGGAAGATGAATGCTTTAGCCGCCAATGAAGTGATGATGGCTGAATTTCATTCTCCTCATCATCATCCGCTTCATTGCTTACCTTGTCGATAATATTCAACAACTCTGATGCATTTTCTGCTGCTTCTTGCAAGGCTTGATGGAGTTTCTGGGAAGCTTTTTCCTGATCATCTCTGCCTTTGGCTAAAACAAAGTTGCTTAGTTGTATTTCGATGTCGTCTTCAGCTTTGAGTGCAAAGTCTCTGATTTGGATTTCAAAATCTTTGATTGCAGCACCACCACCGCTGGATTCCTGTAGAAAGGCTTGCAAAGAACAAATGCTTTCAAAGAAAGATTGGATTGGTGGCTGATGAAGAAGAGGCACCCTTGGGAAGGGTTATAGAAACTCAAGCTGAATTGTTGAGATTAGAGAAGCTAAAGCAACACAAGCCATCTCTCTCCCTCACTCAATTTTTTTTTTTCCTGATCTATTTGTTCGAATGAGAAATGTGATTATGTGAATGTGACTTTAGAAGAGAAGGGCTGGAGAAACTATTTTAGAGTCGAATAATGCACTCTAGTAAGAGAGTCACATAACAAACAAGCCTTCTCTCTTTATTGGGCAGGAGAAACTATTTTAGAACATTAAAAAAATTAAAAATTAGAACTCACCAAACACATCTTGACCTTTCAGCTATGGCTACTAACTACAATCTTATCTCTATCCCACTATAAACATATATTCCTTGATTGTGACCCTACACATACGTCAATATTCTGGCATGCATTATTGACCTTCCAAAATAAAGTCACTATAGATCACTGTTCATGGGACCTATAGGTAGTAGTGGAGCCAGAAATATTATTGATGAGTGATAAGTGAAAAACCAAAGCATTTTTATAAATTAAAATCTAATTTTGTTACTGTGAGATATTATTGATTATTACTGTGAGTCTGAGATATTATTGATTATCTCAATAGTCATAGTCATTTGGGCAAGCTAAGATAAAACTGGAACAAAAGAGCAAGAAGTTGCAATTTTCGATCATCTTGACCACTGTTCGGTATTTGGATCATATCTCATCCTAAGATAGTCCAAATGAAGTGATTCTTGCGCCATTAGAAAGAAAACTCAAAGGGCTACAACTTTCATCAAAATCATCAAGCCAACTTATAAAGTTAAAGGGGTCAAAATTGGCATGGAAGTTGAAGTAGCGCTCCAGAGTCCCCAGATTTGCGATTTTTGCACTATTTATGCATGGGCGTGCACCAACCCCTGTTCAGTTATTTAAGCTCGTTTTTTCCCCTTTCTACCTGGTTTTGGACCCCAACTCAACCCTAGGCAGCTGAGAATGTTTCCTTCCACTTTCCTATTATCATTCTAGGTAGAATAGGTTTAGATTTAGATTTCTTTACATATTTGAAGCTTTTATTGAAGGATTCATACTTGAATTCCAAAATCCTACCTTCCGTTGTTAATAGAGAAGTTCTTATTTCCTTTGCTATATTTATGTTTATAATTTGTGCTTTTGCTAGGTTTATATGTTTAATATGTGTGAGTAATTAGTTTGTGGACTTAGATTAGGGTTGTATTGCCTATCTTGAAGTTCTTATATTATATTATATATATATATATATATATATATATATATATATATCGTCAACTCTTAAATAAAGATACATAGTAACAACCTGAACCTGAACTATCCATATATATAAAGCCTTCAGAATGCAACATCGACAAAACCATATATATACACCGAATGCTGCTGCATCTTTGTATTATGTCCAACAACAGAACAGAGAATGGCCGCCTCCTGCAAATGAGAAACCATTTAATTTGGGTGTCAAAGAATATGTAGTGGCATTTTCTGAAACAAGAATATGTTCAGTGATAGTATATTGGGATTGAATAAGGGAAGAAGAGCACCAAACAACACGAAATCTATGTTTGGATTGAAGATTAGTTAATGATTGAAGTCACGAGAAACCAATTCTTGCCATTTAGCATCTCATCATCAAAATTGAAGGTGCAATTGGTCAAACAAAAAAGACGCTTTCCCAACATTATGACAGTGGTTGTACAGCGAAACCACTGCATGATCCTTCAATAACATCTAAACACTAAACCCAACTAATTTGCAGATAAGTATCTCTGTACATACCAGTTCTCATTGCAGTTAATTCACTATGAGCCTGACCAAGTTGTCTTTTAAGAATGAATCAGGTTGTAGCTTCAAACCTCATCTCATGTTGCTCTTCTCAAATCTGATTGGCCCGCCGAGCCACTTTTGGGCTTGTGCCTCAACAGATTTCTCCATCTCTTATTCTTTAATTTGTGGATGTACGACTTGAATTTACCAACACCATTATATTCAGGCTACTGGATTTTGATCTATGAAAAAATTGAGGTTTCAAAAGAAATTAAGTAGAAACAGCTTTTGCAAACAAGTTCAGCATCTAATAAAACAGAAAAAATTAGCAATGAATGATCTGAGGCATAGCTTCTAACCTCAAAATTAGCTTTCTCAAATTTTCCAACCCCAACATCTTCATCACACTCTACTATGTTCCCTGATTCATCATATTCAGGGTCCTGGATTTTGATCTATGAAAAAGGAATGCAAAATAGAGAAAACAAATGAGGTTACAAAAATAATTAAATAGTAACATATTTTGCATCTAATATAAAAGAATAAACAAGGCAGAGCTTCTAACCTTAAAATTTGCTTTTCCAAAATTTTTCTTTAGCTTCTCTTGAATATCCTTGGCAGAAGCGACAATGGAAGGGTCGCTACACCTATCCAACTCAATCGACTTCAAGCACAAATTTTGTCCAAAACTGCTAGGAATATCTTCCAAATAATGACAACATCTTAGAACTAGACGCTCAAGACATGGGAAGGAATCTGTATACGCCTCCAACCCCTTGAGTTTTTTAGCTTTAAGGAGCAAGAACTTTAATCGAAAAAATCCTTCTTTAGCTACTCTCCACACTTGTTCATGGAAAGCATTTTCCAGCTTGAGCACCTCAAGACATTTCAATGTGCCAATTACAGTTAAATCCCTTCCAGAAAGATTAGTCCCTTTCAACCTCAGTTTCTTCAGTCGTGAAGGAAACATACACCGTTTAGGAAATGTTACAATGCAGCCAATAGAAACTGAAATCGTTAGACTCTCAAGTTGTGCTAAATAGTCCAAGTTATCCAGAATGATGTGTTTGCTGGAAGATCCACCAGTATGTGGCTCTATGTCTTCTTTACACAATATTTTCAGTTTTTTTATGTTTGGAAAACAGGAATACACTTTATTTCTGCAATGAGTTGGACCTACCCAAGATAATGTTTGCAAATTCCATTTAACCACACTAGGAGGATCAACTGTATACAAAGCACCAAGTTCAAGATGCTTTAACTGTGGTGACTCCCAAATTGTTGGTGGCAAATGGAGAATAGGTTGTGATTCACTGTCACTTCCAGAAATAACAAGTGTCTGCAAATTCACATTAGTTGACACAACATCACTGAGACCCTCAAACCATTGTGTTACTGATAAATATCTAAGAAAAACTAAATCCCCTAAATGCATTGGCACTCTTTGGAGGAATGGGGATGGAATGAATGCCAGAACTCTAAATAGCTTGAAGGGTACAAAAATTTCACTGTTTTCTTGAAAAAAGAAAATGGAGCGAGGGTTGTTCGAACTAAACAACACATAATAGTCAAAGCCATGTTTGCATAAACTTAACCAACGGCATGAATTTGCAAATGCATTATTTAATGACCACCTTGGGAGTTCCCGAGTATTTACTGCACATAAAATTCCCTCTTTCTGAGCCTCTCTGAAACATATGTTATGCATGACACTATGCACCCAGCAAGTCTTGATTTTTCCATCCAAAGTCCGCTTCCTTATTAACACAACGCTTCTATCAATGAGGTCCTTTAAGTAACAATAAGCAATCTCTTCTAACTCCTTATTATTTGATGGCTTCACAAACCCTTCAGCAATCCATAACCTAAGGAGTGTTTTAACTTTGATTTGAGCACGCTTTGGAAAGGTTCCAAGATATAAAAAGCAAACTTTCAAATATTCTGGTAACTGATTATAAATGAGAGTGAGTGCACTATAATCTAGAATTCCCAGCAGCTCTATTTCTTTTTCAATCTTTTTCAATTCATGTTGTATGTTGTTCTTGCATTAAGATAAACGCTCTGCAACGGTAACAATTGCCTTAGGCAGTCCATCACATTTCTCCCCAACATTGAATAAATCACTCCTAAAGCTTTCAAATCTTGGTGCCCTATACTTTTGAAGAGGAAAGATATTGTAGAATAGATCCCAACTTTTATTTGGATCTAGTAAACTCATAGCATGATAATTACCATTGAATGAGCAGAGATAATCAACCACTTGGTAGGACCAGGTGGTCAGCAATATGCGACTTCCATTCTCATTCCAAGGAAAACAACAGTTGATATGATGCCAATGCAAAATTGTGGATATGTCATCCAAAACAAATAGATACCTCTTGCCTATCAAGCATTCATGGACTATATGTTCTAGAGGTCTTCCCTGATCTTTAATTTCTTGTTGCTCTGCTACTGCGTTTTTAATTAACAGAAAGAGGTGTTTTTGCAATTGGATCTCATTGTATTTTTGGGGCATAGTAAACCAGAGTTTTACCTGGAAATGCTGTGCAACTAATTCATCTTCAAAAATTGTTCGAGCTAAAGTAGTCTTTCCTATGCCCGGCATCCCAATTACTGGGATTACTTCTGGATCACCACCTTCACTGAAGAGTAGATCCTTTATAGCAGTAACATCATTTTTAAAAACTTAATTCTAAAAAAAAAAAAACTATTTTTAAATAAATAATTATTAGGAATGAATTCTAACCTCAAAACTTTTATTTTGATAATTCCATAGCTCTTCTCTGATCCGTTTGGCAGAAGCAACAACCAAAGGGTTACACCTATCCAACTCAATTGACGTCAGTAGGGGATAAGTGAACCAGTCATTACGGATAACTTTCAAACAATATAACTCATTTGGTAACTCTTCCAAATAATTACAAGATCTTAGGACCAGATGCATAAGTCGTATGAAAGTGGATAATGTATGAAACCTCAACTGCTCCAGTGTTTCATCTTTAAGGAGTAAGAATTCTACACTATTGAATCCTCCTTTAGCCACCTTCCATACTTTTCCCGGGATGGCATTTTCAAGTTTGAGCACCTTAAGAGTACATAACTTTGCTAAGTACATTTAAATTTCTCTGAGAAAGATAAGTCCCGCTCAACCTCAGCTTCTTTAGTTGTAAAGGACACATGAATTGTTTGGTATGTGATGGAATATAATGAATTGGGCCTGGGTCCACGAGCATGGGGGGCGGGGGCAGGCCCAAGAAAGTTGGTGAGCGAGCCCATGGGCGTAGGCGAGGAGCGAACATGGTCGCATGCATGCATGCGAGGGTGGCGGCGCGAATGTGGTTGCATGCACACGGCGGTGGCGGCGGTTTGAGCGCTGTGCGGCCGCGTGCATGCGCATGCATGCGGGATGGCAGCACCATGCGTGCGTGGAAACGCGGAGGGGGCCAGCTGCGCGCCTACTCGTGTGCCCGGGCGTGTAGGGGGTTGCTGCCATTCACGAGGCGAACGTGGCCGAGGTGGCGTCGGGTGCGTGGACAGGAATGCGCGTACGACGCGGAGTATGTGCAAGGGGGGCGCGGAACGCGCGGTAGAGGGCGGCACGCGTGTGGCCCGAGAGAGGGGTGTCGTTGTCGTCCACGTGGTTGGCTTGGAGGGATCCTCATCCAGTGTAAAAGGAAGGGGGTCGTAATCCAAGGGGGACAAGGTGTGAGGAGTAGCAGGGGTGGTAATAATCAGTGGGTGAGAGGCAAGCGGACGCAAGATCGATCCTGGATAACGACAATCATTGATCGTCAATCGGGGCTTGCCGTTGGGCCTGATAGTGGGCCGGGGAATCTGCGCTTGGTGTTCTTAGCATAGTATAGTCATCACAATCTTCTTTTATCCATTCTGTTCGGTTTATGGTGGACCCATTTTCATTAAAACCATCATTGGCACCGTCTGTGGGGACGCGACAAAGAGCCGTGTTCTCAGATCCGTTACCTTGTCATACTGTGTTATACGCTTAGTTCCCCTACGGCGATCATGGGATCCCAGAGCCGGTTCTTGAGGGCGCCACTCTCCGACGCGGGACAGCGGATCCCGCCCCCCGACGGAGGACGAGACGTCCCTATCGGCGTTCGGCGGGCCCACTCAACTCCGCCACGCAGAAGACTGCCCGCGCTGATCGCGGGGCCAACAACGTAGAGCCCGTGGCCCCCGAAGCCCGCATCCCTCATCGCGGCCCGGGGCAGCACGAGAAGCCCGTTGCCGATGCAAGCGTGGGCAACAGGAAGACCGCGCCCCAGGACCAAGGATCGGAGTGGGGATGGATAGGTGATGCAGATGGGCACGCATGCGACGACGAGTCAGAAGGAGAGAGTGCCCAACAAGCCGTGGCAACAGACCCAGGTGGCAGATGCCCGATCCGCCCTACGGCCGTCGGGGGGTGGGCGAAAGGCATGGAGGCTAAGGTAGTCGAGTTGCTCAGATGGAAAGAAGGGGGCAGGATACATGTCCCGAAGATTGAGGTTACCCCACCCTTCACCCGGAGGATCATGAAGGAACCCATTCCCTCCACCTTCAAGCTGCCCAACATCACACGCTTCGACGGCCGGGGCGACCCACAGGAGCACATAATGGCCAATCAGGCTACCATGATGCTAATGGGATCATTGGAAGCCATGATGTGCAGAGCCTTCTTTTCCACTCTTGTCGACCAGGCGCAACGTTGGTTCACGAGCCTCAAAGGAGGGACTGTGTACTCTTTCCATGACCTGGCTGTGAAGTTCATCACCCACTTCATGAGGGGAAGAAAGATCCGAAAGCATTTCACTCATCTCACCACGGTGAAGCAGGGAGTCGGAGAGTCGCTGATCGACTTTCTGGTCCGCTGGCGGGTGGAAGAAGCGAACGTAGAAGACATTGACGACAAATCGGGCGTGGTCATGTTCGTCGACGCCCTAAGGGCGGGAGACCTGTACAAAAGCCTGCGACGCAAAACCACTGACACCTATGCAGCGCTGATGGTGAAGGCTGACAGGTATGCCGAAGCGGAGGAGGCGAATTGTTTGAAGGGACACGAAGAAGAAACCCCCTGTAAGAGGTCCCGACCGGCCGAGGAGCCTGCCAGGCTAGGAAAGAGGGGGGCAAACCCCGCGACAGAAAGGGCCATCGGGGGGAGGGAGAAAGCGGGACGCTGGAGATACGACGATGACACATAGGGTGCCCCCACCGTGGGCGCCCCGCCCGCCGATGAGAAGTCTTCCAATGGCCCCCCTCACCCCTATCAACGCCCGACCCAGTGAGGTATTAGCTTACGCCGAGCAATGTCAAATGGTTAAGGTTCCCGAGCCTCGAGCCCCGGGCATCCCCGCCGAAGGCCGTGGGCGGTACTGTGGATTCCACCGCTAACCCGGGCACAGTACTGACGAGTGTCAGGCCTGGAGGAAGGAGATAGAGGCCCTTATCCAATCAGGCCACTTGGGCAACTTCATCGATTGGAACAAGATGTATTACGGGAACATATGGAAGAGGGAAACAGCCGAGGTTGGCCCTGAGAATCACAACCCCCCGAAGGAGATGCCAGGCGGGGGCGCAAGCGACAGGGGTAAACGCCCCGTGATAAACGTAATCTTCGGCGGATGGTCAGCAGGCAAAAGGGTGGAGGAATACGTGGGGTCCATCGAAAGAGCACCCGCGATGAAGAGACAACACAAGGAACCGATCACTTTCACTGATACCGGCCTCCCACGTGGGGGAGCTTCGTCCAAGGAAGCCATGGT